GGAACACTGGCAGGAAACACATCTCATTCATCTCTCAGAATCAGGACAGAAAACACCCACAGGACTTCCAACTTCAAAGCACCTGACCAACTTCGGAGGGACCAAGCCTGTTGGCAGAAGCCCACAGCTCCTTCCTGGTTCCTCTGGCCACAGTGTTTGTGGGCAAACAGTATGAGCTGAACTTAAACTGTCTTTCTAGCTGTGGATACTCAAGCACCCAGCAGGTAGCCTACAGTAAACTCGGGCAAGAATGCAGCTGCAGAAGGGAAAACTGCCCAGGTTAGAAGCCTGTCCCTTAGTCAGGGACACACAGTGGTAGAGCTAAGGACTTATAGGTAGCCGGATGCCCTCGTAGGTGAAGAACAGGAAGCCGCAGGAAGCTGAAGAGAAGCCACCAAACCTTGCGGGGTCAGGAGGAGACACCAAGCATGAAATAGCTGGACAAGGGCTATCAGGGCACGCATAGACTCACGTCACAGGGAGAAGCAAAGACATCCCTAGAATCTGTCAAACATCTGAGGTGGGAAAACAGCTCACTTTTCCCCTTTGCACCCCAAAAATAAGAAAACTCAACAAGGGACTTTTTTCCTGATACTTCCACGGCAGATAAAGTTCACTCTGCACCTTCTCAAAACAGCACTCTCTAGAGAGAGCTGAGTCTGGAACTCCCCTTTCCAGGGCCTCATAAAGCAGTGATTTATTGACCTTCAGAGACTCCATTGTTATCATTTTCCTGGTGTAGGAACAACTGCAGGGTAGATAATGAAAAAGCCAGCTCACAGTCCTCGATGGACGCAGAGAATGCTTCTCTCACAGTCCAGGAGACCACAGGAAGCAAGAGGAGAGGCGTCTTAAGTCCTAGCAACCCAACATCTGAAAGCTCATAATTGTGTGACCATGTTCTCAAACAAAAAGCTAATCCATACACAGGTCTCCTAACTAAAGTGAGGCGGCAGTGTGGCACAGAGCACAAGCATAGCCACACCCTAGGGGGTTTCCTTGGAAGGTTCCCTGTAGGCTTTTCCAGAGCCTCCTTGTTTATAGTCTGCGTTACCGCCCCAATAAGGGCTGTGTTTGAGTTATCTCAGAACTGTAAAGGTTTAGTGCCTCATCTGTTTGGTGTGTTTCCTGAATTCAGGGCCTTGTGCTAATCTGTAAGGTCATAAACATTGGTGGTTTCTCGTTGGCAAGATTCCTTTATGTCTAAACCACACACACCATCCCCTTGACCTAGAAAGCTTTCTTCCTGACCCACCTCTTGGATCACGTCTTCTCTGAAGCTTGAGTTCCCCGTCCTTCAAAGAGTTGAGAAAACTCTTCCTCCCAGAGCACACCTTGTCTCTCCTCTTCTTCCTCCTCCACCTCCTCCTCCTCTTCCTCCTCCTCCACCTCCTTCTCCTCTTCCTCCTCTTCCTCCTCCTCCTCTCCTCTTCCTCCTTCTCCTCTTTCTCCTCCTCCTCTTCCTCCTCCTCCTCTTTCTCCTCCTCCTCCTCTTCCACCTCCTTCTCCTCCTCCCCCTCCTCCTCCCCCTCCTCCTCCTCCACTTCCTTCTCCTCTTCCTCCTCCTCCTCCTCTTCCTCCTTCTCCTCTTTTCCTCCTCCTCTTCCTCTTCCTCCTTCTCTTTCTCCTCCTCCTCTAC